ATTCTTCAACAGTGTAATGTTCCTTTTGTTAATAAAATTGCTGTTGAGTTCTGTTCTTTTTGTTGTTTAGGCAAGTCACACAGGCTGCCTTCATTTCCTTTCACAACCACATACAATCAACCTTTTGAACTTGTTTTTACTGATCTGTGGGGACCAGCTCCTATCCTATCTTTTGATGGCTATTCTTATTATATAGCTTTCATTGATGCATCCATCAGATTCACTTGGGTGTACTTTTTAAAAAGAAAATCTGATGCTCTCAATGCCTTTACCAAAATCTACAACTATGTCCTTAATCAGTTTTCTGTCTCTATCAAATCCTTCCAATCTGACTGGGGAGGTGAATTCAGATCCTTTAATCAATTGTTGTCTGAAAAAGGAATCACTCATAGGGTAATTTGTCCACACACACACCATTAAAATGGTGTTGTGGAAAGAAAGCACAGAAATATTGTTGAAAAAGGTCTATCTCTCCTCTCACATTCTGCCCTTCCTCTTAAATTCTGGGATGCAGCCTTTGCCACTGCAGTTTATCTCATCAACAGAACCCCATCTAAATCTATCTCCAATGCCAGTCCTTACTTCAAATTATATGGCTCCCATCCTGACTACTCTTTTCTCAAAGTCTTTGGTTGTTCTTGTTATCCATTCATCAGGCCCTATAACAAGCACAAAATGGGCTTTCACTCTGAAGAGTGCATCTTCCTTGGATATTCTTCCACTCACAATGGGTATAAATGCCTATCACCCTCAGGAAAAGTCTATATCTCCCGGGATGTTATCTTTCATGAGTCAAAATTCCCTTAACTTACTCTTTTTCCCTCTACACCATCTCCACCACCTAAATCTCCTACACCTGTTTCTGTTCCTATAGCCATTTCATTTCCATCCAAAACAACTGAGCTATTCCCTACAGATCAGTCAAATCAGTCAAATCAGTCTTCTTCCTCAGAAACTCAATCCGACTTCAACAACAACACATCTTCATCTTCAGAGTCAACTTCAGAGTCACACCCAAATACTCCCATATCTCCTGCTCCTATCATCAACAACCATCCTATGAGGACTAGGGCCAAATCTGGCATAGTAAAACCAAGGCTTAATCCAACCTTACTGTTAGTTCATACTGAGCCTAACTCAGTGAAACAGGCTTTATCTTCTCCTCACTGGTTTGAAGCCATGAAGTGTGAGTATGATGCATTGATATCCAACAATACATGGTCTCTTGTACCTCTTCCTCTTGACAAACAAGCCATTGGCTGTAAATGGGTCTTCAGAATTAAAGAAAATGCTGATGGTTCTCTGAACAAATATAAAGCCAGACTAGTGGCTAAAGGCTTTCACCAGAAATTTGGTACTGACTTTGGAGAAACATTTTCTCCAGTTGTCAAGCCTGTAACCATAAGGGTTCTCCTTACCCTTGCTGTGTCAAATAAATGGTCAATTCAGCAACTTGATGTTAATAATGCCTTCCTAAACGGTGAAATTGATGAAGTTTACATGGTTGATGGTTCAGCCTCCGGGATTTCAAGTGAAAGACACCTCTCTTGTCTGCAGGTTACATAAGTCCCTCTATGGGCTTAAACAAGCTCCCAGGGCTTGGTTTCTCAAATTAACCTCAGTTTTGTATAAAGCTGGCTTCAAGCAGAGTAAAAGTGACCCCTCTTTGCTTGTCTATGTGTCTTCTGGAATCCAAATGTACATCTTGATCTATGTTGATGACATATTAGTTATTGAAAATCAGCCTACTGCCATTCATCAGCTCATTACAACACTCGACTCTTCTTTCTCTTTGAAGCACTTGGGAAACCTTGACTTCTTTTTGGGAATAGAAGCACACAGACTTCCCGATGGCAGCTTACATCTCTCTCAAGCCAAATATATCAAGGATTTGCTTACCCAAACTGGTATGCTTGACTCCAAAGCAGTAAAAACACCTATGGTTAGTACTTCAAAACTCACTCAAGAAGGCAATAATCATCTTCCAAAACCATCTCACCTGACATATGCTTTGCAGTCAATAAAGTTTGTCAGTTTATGGCTGCACCACTACAAGAACATTGGCTGGCAGTTAAATACATCCTCAGATAAATATATCTGGCACCATCAATCATGGTCTCATCATCAAACCCTTACCTCTGTCCTCTATACCTCTTCCAATTACAACTTACTGTGATGCAGATTGGGCATCTGATCCTAATGACAGGAAATCTACATCTGGCTCATGTATTTTTCCGGGTTCTAACATAGTCTCAAGGTGGTCAAGGAAGCAGGTCAGAGTAGCAAGATCTTCGGCTGAGGCTGAATACCAAAGCTTAGCTAATACTACTGCAGAGTTATTGTGGATTTAGTTTCTTCTAAAAGAACTTCAAGTGCCTTTCTCTGTTCCCAAAGTCTATTGTGACAATCTGAGCACTGTACAGCTTGCTCACAACCCTGTCTTACACTCTAGGATCAAGCATATGGAGCTTGATCTCTTCTTTGTCAGAGAAAAGGTCCATCTGAAGCAGCTGCAAGTTTATCACATTCTTTCTCCTTATCAAGTTGCTGACATCATGACAAAACCACTCTCCACTCCAATTTTCTGGATCTAAGGACAAAACTAAGTGTGGCTGATCCATCACCTTCATCTTCTGGGGGGAAATGTTAGACATAGATTCTAGAATAGCCGATTATACTTAAATGTAATAGTCGTGCTGTTAGTCTGTTAGAGTCGGTTAGTGTTTGTTAGTTGTTCAACCTAACCGATTCTATATATACCCTGTATTGCTGCTTCAGAACATTAATGATAATAAACTTCTACTCCATTTCCTCCTGTATGATTTCTATTAAACCTAAATCTGTGGAGCAAGCTCTCTCTTCTCCTGAATGGTTTGAGGCTATGAAATCTGAATATGATGCACTCATATCTAACAATACTTGGACCCTTGTACCCTTACCCCCAGATAAACAAGCTATTGGGTGCAAATGGGTTTACAGGATTAAGGAGAATGCTGATGGCACTTTAAACAAGTATAAAGCAAGATTGGTTGCCAAGGGTTTTCATCAAAGGCTTGGTTTTGACTTTGGAGAAACTTTTTCTCCAGTAGTTAAACCAATTACCATCAGAATTTTACTCACCATTGCTGTATCTTGTCATTGGCTGATTGGCCTATTCAGCAGCTTGATGTCAACAATGCCTTTCTAAATGGAGTTATTGATGAAGAAGTTTACATGGTACAACCTCCAGGATTTCAGGCTCAGGACACTTCATTGGTTGTAAGCTTCACAAGTCCCTATATGGCTTGAAACAAGCTCCAAGAGCTTGGTTTCTTAAGCTTACTTCTGTCTTGTATGCTGTGGATTCAAACAAAGCAGATGTGATCCATCCTTGCTTTATTTGTTGACATCTGAGGTGCAGATATACATATTGATCTATGTTAATGATATACTGGTTATTGGGAACAATCCTACTGCCATTGCTCAGCTCATTCAGAAATTACATTCATCGTTTTCTCTTAAAGATTTAGGAGATTTAGATTTCTTCTTGGGAATAGAAGCAAACAAACTACCAGATGGTAGTCTTCATCTCTCTCAAGCCAAGTACATAAGAGATCTTCTCAATCAGACAGGCATGATACAATCCAAAGGAACCAAAACTCCAATGATCAGCACTTGAGAGCTCACTAATGCAGGCAACAACTACCTGCCCAATCCCTCACAATATAGATCCATAGTTGGTGTCTTGCAATATGCTACTCTAACTAGGCCTGAAATTTGCTATGCTGTTAATAAAGTATGTCAATTCATGGCTGCACCACAGGAAGAACATTGGCAAGCAGTAAAACACATACTTCGTTATCTTTCAGGCACTATCAATCATGGTCTCATAATAAAACCCCTTCCTTTGAAAACTATGCCACTCTCCATCTCAGCATTTTGTGATGTTGATTGGGCTTCAGACCCTACCGACAGGAAATCGACTTCTGGTTCCTGTGTCTTTCTTGGATCCAATATTATTTCATGGTGGTCAAGAAAACAACCTCGTGTGGCAAGATCTTCCACAGAAGCAGAGTACAGAAGTCTGGCTGACACTGCAGCAGAACTTCTGTGGATACAATTCCTACTGAAAGAACTTAAAGTTCCTTTTTCTATTCCCAAAGTATATTGTGACAATCTCAGCACTGTCAAGCTGGCTCATAATCCTGTCTTACACTCCAGGATCAAACATGTGTAGATTGATCTTTTTTTTTTCGTGAGAGAAAAGGTCAAACTGAAACAACTTGAAGTGTTTCATGTTCCTGCTCCTCAACTGAAAAGGTTTTTTGTGACAAAACCTTTATCCACTTCAAGATTTCTGGAGATTAAGAACAAACTTAGTGTGACTGAGTTCAGTCCTCATACTCCTCAATCACCCTAACTTAGTCGGTTATAAGTTGTTAGTTTGTTCTTAATTCTGTTTGACTTAGTTAGTCAGTTGAGCTGAGCTTTGTATGACCTGGCAAGTCTATAAGATCAGTTTACATTTCTTCCATTCTATTTTCTAATAGTAATTATGTATATAATTATATATAATATATTATAAATTTATATAACGTGCGACTAGTTGCCTAATTGTTGCCTAGGCGGGCGCCTTGTCGCCTAGGCGATATGGCGGTCGGCTGGCGCCGCGACTCGCCTAACCGCCGTGATAACTATGACTGTTTATGGCAAAACTTTAACGAAAAACTGGCACTGACACAAAATTAGTTGTTAAAATAGTTCATATGGTGAAAAATCCTCAATGTGGTGCACTAATTTGTTAGTGGATTAATAATATGCACAAACGTAATGTGCAACACCTTTTTGTTTAACAAAACATGAAGTATGGCTGTATGGGATCAAATCATCAATTTTCCCTGTGTATGTATGCTGTCATCCATTTTTGCTGTGTATGTATGTTGTCATGAATATTTCAGGATAGTGATTTCTGTCCATTTGTATGTGCTTTATAGTGTTGGGAAGTAATAATATGTTTGCAGATATGGTGAATGAAAGAAAGTGGTGTTTCACGACTGATGTAGTAAAGATCCTATGGCGCGGCCAAATATGGATGAATTACTCAAGGAATTTACAGAGTTCTTGGCCCAATTCAATGAAACAAAGAATTAAAGGACTTGTAGTTTAATAACTGAAGTGTCGTATGGTATACTTTCACTTTGTGTCCTTTGCGTGCTTCTGCAGAACTAGATGTTGATGTTTCTTCAAAGTTCAAACCAGGGTATGCTATATGGTTATATTAATTATTAAACTAGACTAGATGATGTTGAAGTTTGTTGCTTTCGCATTATGTCATATTATATTAATCTGGAATTCTGGATGTTGATGTTCTCTTTTGTATACGTTTCAGATTCATTGTCAAAAGAATAGTGGATGATTGCTAAATTTTATCAATATTGGATATATTTGCAATGGCTTTGTATAATCTGTTAAAAAATTGAAGGATGGAGTTGGACATGTTTAATTTTGTTTCTTTTCGTTTGTAACGGTATTGCTTTTGAAAGCATCAAGTTGTTACTTGTCTAATTAATTCTGATGTCCCGGTTCAAATATAAAATCGAAGCCCCACATGGTTACATTAATATAAAAGTTAAGAAAAAATCTCAATTCAAATACTTGTACAATTGAATACTCATCAAATAATGTACTCCCTCCGTTCCTAAAAATACTTCTTCCCACTTTCCTTTTTGGGCCGTTCCCAAAAATTCTTCCCACTTTCCATTTTTGGACAATTTGTGTGGCTCACTTTTATTTTACCTTTTTTTACACAACCACAACCACACATTTCCACTTTATTTCACTTTCTTAATAAGCGTGCCAATTCAAACCGGGAAGAATTTTTAGGAACGGAGGTAGTAGTAAAAAAATCTAAAACTTGATATTTGGTTTACAGCAACTAAACTCCATTATTCAAGCAATTTGAATATGCTAAGAGAAAACTAAAATGATCAATACTAAAAGAAATCTGAGATTTTCTTCCTTACTAATTGCATTTTACTGATTAGTATTAATATATGAAGTATAATTATTATTATTATATAATACTAATATTTTTTAAAAAAATTGGGGCCCCATAAATCAGTGGCCATGTTCTGGATAACCTATTTAATAGCCGTTATATAACGGCCCTGCTTTGGCTGCTTAGCATGAGCCATACTCTTCCCCATTTCCTTCTCTCCATAACTCCCCATCTTTATCTCCCATTTCTTTTGATCTTCTCAAACATGAAACTAGGGGTGGGCGCGGTTTGGGTCGGTCCGGTTAATTGATAAATTTTCAAGAACCGCCGGTTCCATTTAGCGGGTAGGTTCGGTTCGGGTATACCAATTTTCAAAATAGAAATCGAACCTTGCCCGCCCCATTTGAAACGGGCCGGTCCGGTCCGAGTCCTCGATTCCTTTTTGTAAAAAAAAGTACGACTATGCAAGCAAAGTTTCTAATAAGTTCTAAAATTCTCAAATTAATTACATATTAATATAACCATAATATAGTATTTATTCAAAATAAACGTATAAGACACATATTAAATTAGTTAACAAAATATCGAAGCACAAATTTATAAATTAAACAACACACAGTCAACTTAATTAAAATGGTAATCATTGTTCATAAACCAATTAAAAAGACATGACCATAAATTCATAAAAACTAAAAATAGTTACTATAAATATTTGTCTATGAAATAATTTAAAGCTTATTAAATCTTCAAGTACAAGTATAATTAAGAAAATTAAATTAATATGTCACACTTCATTGAGTAAGAGTCTTTAGTTACAAAAGTATTAAAGAAGGAAAGTTTGATGCATTCGGAAGAGAGGAAAATAGTTTAAGAGTTTAATTATATGGACATGGAAACTAGTTTTAACTTTTAATAGACCGAGAAGTTTCTTTAATTATAAGTCTTTGTCTAAACACAAGAACATGAAAAGCTTTCGTGTATTGTTAGTATGTTATTTTATACTAGTATTAAATATTTTAGAAATTATTAAAATAATATTTTAAAACGATTATGTCCGGGTACCCGTTTTTTCAAATTTTAATCATAATTCATAAGTATTTCAGGACCCGTCCCGCCCCAAACCGTTTGGATTTTCTAACATTAGGACCCGACCCTAACCCGGCCCGAAACTGCATTACCCGGCCCGACCCGCGGTTCCATTATCCGTTTGCCCACCCCTACATGAAACCAACTGTGATCCTCATAGCAATTAGTCACTTCATACTTTATTCACCTTAATACCAATCATCATGTTCTGACAGTAGTCATTTTCATCATCACCGCCTTAGTCCTGTTGCAGTTTCCCACTTTGCCGCATGGGTATTTAGTTGGGAGATTTCCCAAAATGGGAGTAAATGAAGTTTGAAATTCCAAAATAGGACTACTATGTTTTTATTCTCGAAATAGGACTAACATGTTAGTATTTACTGCCATCTTGTAAACGTAACTGTCAAATAGTTGCAGTACAGTGCATTTTATATGACAGTATTTATTATAATTAACGACAGTATTTTTCAATCATGGCAATATTTTTTATACATGACAGTAATAACTCCTATATCGGGAAGAAAAACATAGTAGTCCTATTTTGGAATTTCAAACTTCATTTACTCCTATTTAGGGTAATTTCTTTATTTGGTTTCAATGAATTTGTTTAAGGATGAGGCGGCATCATCCTCCGCTCCCTCGTCTTCATCATCATCACATTTGAGGAGCTCCGAGTCCTCAAGTAGCACCCTCTCCGTGCCCTCGGGGAGGGGAACCCTTACGTCCGGCTGGAGAGGGGGGAGGCCATAAGCCTCAGGCTTAAAATCCTTCGGATCGACGCCGTAATGACGAGCAAGCTTCCGGTAGAGGTTTGCTTGGGTGAAGTACTCACCGCCCTCGTAGAATGACTTGCCTTTCCGGGCTAGCCACAACGCGCCGGGGCCAAACACCCATTCTTCGACAACCTCCGGCACGATAGAAGACACCCACTCCTTGTGGCTCTCAGCTCTCCAGCCCCCGGCCTTGAAAGCGTCAATGGCACCCTTCGCGACATCACTCACAGCCTCCCTCTTGACGGCCTCGGCGGCCTCGGCGGCCTCGGCAGCGGTCTTGGCGGCCTCGGCAGCAGCCTTCTCGGCTTCAGCTTTACCCTCGGCCCGGGCTTCCTGCCTTGCAGCTTCCAGCTTCTGCTCAGCCTGCCGGAGGGCCTCCTCCAACCCGGCTAGCTGCCTAATGGCCTCAGTATTATTGACGATGAGCCACTTCATGGCCTCATCAGATTTGGCCCTCTCAAGACGGTGCTGTTCCGCCCTGCGGACGAGCTCCCCGAGAGCCACGCTAGCCTGCAAACACACGAAAGAACACTCAAGGCCGGACTAGGCAAAGGGAAAAACATTAAGGCAAAAATTACAAAATATCAGAGCACTTACAGTCACCGAGGCCTGAAGAGCTTTTAGCTCGAGGGATTCATCCGCAAACCTCCCGAGGGTTGACCGATCCGTCGGAGGGGTGGCACCCCTCAGGAAGTCCCTCGGGTCCAACGTGCCATGCATAATGGCACTCCCCTTCTTCACAGAGAAGTTGATGTTCTCCGTAAGCCAGGCCACCCTTTCTTGAGCCAGGGCCTCAGAGGATGAAAGCTCCTCTACGACGACGATAGGGGCCTCCTTCTGCTCCACGGTCCCCTTTGGCTTCTTCTTCTCCGGGGGATTGATTCCCTTCCCGGAGTTCTTCCTTTTCAGCCCCACAACCTTGGAGCCTTCCTCATCGACAGCTTCTGAGGGCCCCTCACCCTCATGGTTCTTCTCCGCCTCCGGCTTCTTGAAGAACTCATCCACAACTCTCTGAGTCGGGCCCCCCTCGTCTTTCTTCTTCTGCTTGGCCAGTTGCTTGGAAAGCTTGGCAAAGGCTTTCGGGTCCATGATGTCACCTGCAAAGGGCAAAGGAGAATTAGAAGAAAAAAAAACAAATCAGAGACAAAAATGACTAAGTACCGGAATCAGAGCCCCTCGGCAACAACCTCTAGCACCCTGGGAGCCCCGGTCAAGTAGAGGGTATCTCTTATCCTTCTCCCCCGGCAAGCGATACCGCTGAAATTCTAGCTTGAGCAACTCCTCCGGAAGCGTGGCAGCCTTGATAGTCGTCAGCTTTTCCGAACCAGGCGGCTTCGCCTCTAGCTTTTTCCCATTGCCCTCGAGGGCAGCATTACCCACCTTAGGGTGTCTCCGGAAATGGTTGCGAAGGGGTCTCGGGAAGGTTACTCCCGGCATCCTGAGGTAACAGAAACGGTCCTTCCATCCCTTGTGGGACGAAGGCACCTCCGAGAAAAGCCTCCACGCCGGCACTTGTTGGAGGTTGGCGAAACCCTCGCTATTGGCGACCCCTCGGCTTTGGCATTGCGAGAGAAACCCGGTAATGTAAGAATGACTGTTCGGGGTCAGTTGGCAGGGGGCGAGACCCACGAACCAGAGATATTCTACCAAGAAAGGGTGGAGCGGGAACCGGAGACCCAACTCCACCGAAAGAATGTGGACAGCATAGCAGCCCTCCGGAGGATGCAGCAGCACGTCGTCGGGCCCTGGCACTACCACCTGTGCCGACGGGCCAACCAGTAGTTGAGTTTTGAGATACTCCGCCTCCACGGCCTTCGTCTTCAATTCGAGGGCGGCTGTATTAAGATAAGAATGCCCTTCGGGAATTCCAACCGGTTGCCCAGCATCTACCGCTGTCTGTTTCATTTTTGAAGCAGCCTTCAGCTTCTTCCTCCTTTTTCCCGGAGCGACGCTCAAGGGTTCTGGTTCGAGAGGCCGGGAGCAACTCGCCTCACCCGAACCTCGAAGAGGCATGATGGCGACCGTCACCCGACGGCATTCCTTCTCTTCTTCTTCTTCTTCTTCGGCCACTTGAATCGCAATGGTCATCTCCTCATCTTCGGCTACCTGCTTGAAATCCTCAGCCTCCGCTTCGGTCCGGAGCTTGTCTTGGACCTCTTCGGCTATGGCGGAATCATTTCGCGTCGATGACTGCTCACTTGAGGACTCCACCTCGGAAAGGCTTTCGGATTGAATCGGGGCCTCCTCCGATATGTTTTGGGAATCGCTTTGCGAAGACATTTCGCTACTAAGGGCGAGAGTTTCTAAGGACAAAAGCTACCTAAGTACCCTACCCGAAGGCTACTAAGGTCACTAAACACCGGATCGAGGGGAAGAATAGCAAAGTATGCTAAGTACAAGAAGAACAGGTGGGAGAACTGACCTCGGGATTTAAGTTTGATCGAAAGGATTTCTCTCTCTCTCTAGAAATCAGTTTGCCAGAGCTTCGCTATCACAAAATCGCGCAAGGGTTATGCCTCTGGCCTTGGGGTATTTATAGGCAGATGGGCCTCGATATATAGGCCTCGATTGGAAAGCCCATCATTACGGGCCGCCGGTTCAGCCAATGGATGGCACCCGCCCACCTTCAGCCAACACCGGCCGGCC